TTCATGTCACGGGGGGACCGAACGTCGACCGATGTGTTAAGATGGTGGTAGTAGGCTAGGAAGCCATCGATGTAGTATCGAGCGCCGATGATTTTCCTAAAACAGTTTAAGGAATAATATTGATTCATTATTTGTCATTCAACTCTAATAGGGTAAAACTAACATCTATCTATATCTATATCTATATCTATCTATCTATATCTATCTATCTATTATCTATTACTACTCTAAAAGGAGGAGTGTTTTTGTAAAAATTCATAATGCCTAAAAAACCCTTACTTTGACATAAATTTTATGACAAATTAGTAATACACTAATACACATCATATTTTATTTATATTTTTAATTAAAAATGATCTACCTAAAAAATCCTTACTTTGACATGTTTTTAATGGCAAATTGGTAATATACTAATGTCATCATATCTTATATTATTAATTAATAACTAATATCAATTAATTAAATGCAAATACACGAACAACTCATTTCACACTCCTAAAATAAAATAGTTTTCTTCCACATATCTTTAAAACTGTTTGATATAGAAACATTATTTTCAAAATAACATATAAAAAATGTGTGATAGTATGCGAAATTAATTGTTGAAAACACTTGTAAAATTAGAAATCGATATTGTTTTTCTCATAACAACCACAAGATATTGAAATATTATTTTCAACATAACCTATAAAAAATGTGTGATAGTATGCGAGATTAATTGTTGAATGATTGTTCTGCAACATAAATTTCTAATCTATTCAATTTCTTTACTGCATAAGATTAGAACAATTTTATGAAAGTGTATAATATTAAAACTGTATCAATTTGTTTTCACGTCTAATGAGATACCACTTTAGCAATATGGATTAATTTTCACCATATAATTATCCACAAACTAATTAAGAATATCTCGAGAATCATGATATGCCTACATGTTGAAAATTAATTACTTTTTTTTTATCACAAAATTATATTCATATATTATCATTAGTCATTTATTTATTTATATGTGTTATTACAATAAAATGGTTTAAAAAAAATGTACGAAATAAAAAAAAATTATATATTTGAGTATAAATGAGAAGATTATAATTATATATAAAATAATATAAAAATATAAAATTAATTGATATAAATAAGACATATGACCTAAAAAGTGCTATACTTAATTTTATATAGTTTTGAACAAACAGAAAAGTTACCCACAAACACACACGCACATTAAAAACATATGAAAGAACAATATAAAGTAAAAAAATATTAAATCTGATAAATAATATTAAATTTATAACAAAGTGGTAACACTTACTAATAACTATGAAAAAAAGTAATAAATAAAAATATTATAATTAGTAAAAGTAATTATAGAACTTTAAAATTTGTTTAATTTTTTGCGCTTATTAGTTCTGTATATAAATTTTAGATGATAGACATCAGTTATTTATACTTTTATCCATGAATGTTAGAAATTTATTTTTCTTAGGAAATTAATTATTTTGATTTTAAATAACGTTCTATTTGCTATTAGTTTTTTAATATAATATATTAATGGCATATTTTATATATATACAATAATACTTTTCGTTATGAAATATGTAAGTGCTAGAAATGTAATTTAATAGATAAATTTATAGGTAAATTTTGATAAAATAATGAGCAATTTCTACAAAAATTATATGGATTACCAAGTTCACTTGTTTAATATATTTTTAATATAAAAATTATAAATACAATTAATTAATAACAAAAACTCCTAATAAAAATTATAATATACAAAGGAATAAAAAAATGATACATTGCAATGAAAAATCCAACGGTAAGACATTAACTTTTTTTTTTCCAAAGACATCACGGTAAGACATTAACTGGATTTTCTAAATGATATTTTATTTGTATATCTGTCATTGTAAATTTGCATTGACTATGTCAACAGAGATCAAATTACATTATTTATTCTTGTGTAATATAATTATTTCAATTATCATTATTTATTATTGCATGAATTTTTGTTAAAAAAAATTTGGGTCATATTTCAACAGTTGAAAAAATGTCACTGGAATTGAAAAAATTTCAATGGAAGTTCTATTCGAAATCTACCTGCAGTGATGGATACAAAATAATTTCATACTTGAGGCATTATTTGGTTAATAGAAAAAGTATACCATTAAAATAACATAATGTCATTATAATTTATAAATTATATTTTTAATAATTTGTCATCTTTCTCATATGTAGTACATGTTTAACACATCAATACAGTTATAATTAAAATATCTTACTTATTACAATGCGAGGCGTTGAATGCTTCGCCAGCTTGGCAGGTTCCGTTCCATTGCTTTGGTACGTCGTCCATCCCTTCATCACTGAAGCTTTCAGATTCTGGCCAAATACCTATTGAAACACCAATGTTATATTAGGAGGTTCGTTTTCTGGCACACGTTGTATATATGATTAAACTCATTCCACTCAACATATGCATGGTGTATAATTTTTTCATCCATCCAAGTACAATTTTTTTCTTATTATGTAAACTTACCCGAGTCAAGCATGCCAATAATGATGTCCTTGCCATATCCCGATTGGTATAACAAAGAGTTTTTATCAATTTTTCTTGAATTTGTCGACTCTTGTAAGCCCAAAAACTCCCATGACCTCGTCGTGTGCAATTCGTATTTTCTCGGATGACTCCGAATAACCGACACAACCTCCTCCCTTTCTGTAATAATTCGATATAGACACCACAAGTTAACATGTACACACACAATTCGCATTCATGAGAGTAGAAAAATAAACTACAAATTCATTTTTGTCTCACCCGAAAGTTCGGAAGCTTCTTGTCGTGTAAGAAAAGCGGCGAAGCCATTAATGCTGTTTTTGTAGCTGTAAATAAGAGAAGATTTTGCATCTTCCTCAGTTTCCTTCACAGAAAACAAATATGAGTGATGGTTTTCTTCTATCTCTTGGTGGGTTTTATCTCCATGATGCTCCCCGAGATACACGATATATACCTATGAATAATTAATATAATTACACGATCTTTTTTTTTTTTTTTTTTGCATAACATAAGCTGTGAATCTGAAACTATAGTAACACTTGCTTTAGAAAAATTTGCAAACCTGTCTATCCTGAGCCGAGGAAGCCAGAAGAAAAGGAAAAAGAAGAAAAAGAAACTGCAGAAAAATGAATAAGTTACAATTGTCCATTGTTGGAAAGAAGCTTATTTGTAAGAGGTACATATTATTGAACGGGTCCACTGGATATATATAGGAACATTTTGGAACATAACCATGTTGAATATTTTAACTTTTAAGGGCAAAATTTTAATTAATTCAGCCTATAATACCGAAAAATGATACATGAACTTGGACATTAGCAAGACATATACAATTGGAGTCAAATTATTTATTCACTTTTTGTGTAACAATTCTACACATATATGATATCCTCCATTTTCTTTGTTTGGTGGAATTCTAGCATTTTTCAGCTTCCATTCTATAATAGAGTAATATAACGTTGGGCTAGACATGGCCAAGGGTCGAACTGGCATGGTAAAGCCGGTTTTGGAACCTGCCCAGAACTCCTTAAGGGCCGGTCAGGGTCGTGTTTTAGTCCTTTTTAAGCCGCTGGACCGGGCCGGTCCCGGGTCGTAATTGTTTTTAAATTATTAAAAAAAAAAAAAAAGAACTGAACCGTCGGGTTGGGCCAATTCAAACACAGTATTTAAGGCCCACCGGGTCGGCTCGTGAACTGGCCCAGCCTTTGACACGTATACGTTGGACTTGTCTCGTCGATACATTTGTACTAAAAAAATTCTAATCCTATTAAGACAATGGCATGGGAATCTCAAAATCGTATCTTAAGTTTGAAATATTCGATTGGACAACAGTCACAATAGTCTCTCTTTTGTGTCTTTTTGACTGCATAATATTGCTTATATCAAAAGTCAGCTGCTTAGTTTCATTGCCTGAAATTGAAATGTTTATTATGAACTCAGATAATCATGCATGGACTTGCGGGCCCGATATCAAGGGCTGATTAAAATCGTGTGAAATAGTTAAATTCAACATTTTGTTTTTTTAAAAAAAAAAAGAATATTAAATAACGACCTTGAAAAACATACTGATCAAGTGCAATCAATTTAGAGTCCTCAAAATATTATTATGTTGGATTAGCTCTCATTTCGAAATTTCTTCACTTTTGACATATATCATATTTATGTCCTCATTTTTTATTTTTTATTTTTTTGAAAAGTTAATTGTTTTGGGGGGAAAATGTATCAAATGTCAATTTCTAATGAGAAATTCACTGCAACATTCGAAGGTTTTTCTTTACGCGTTGTTTCGAGTGTCGAGCAACATTCTTTGAATGCATCAATATTCTTTCTGGAAAAACTATTACTATTCCGACTTATCCAAAAAATGGAGCACACATATAAGTGAAATCGGACCAAGCTAAGTCATATGTAACCATGTTACAGTTATAATCTTTCAATATATATATACACTAGTCGTCTTTCGACTGTGCACGCACAGCCGGTTCAAATTTAGTCGATGATGAAGTTAAAATTTGTTAAATTTAACTATCGTGTTTCCAGTGTACGATAAGAAGAATAAGAAATTATCACATATACTTATAGATGATGTTACTCTAGTAATCTAGCATACTCGCATGTCTATATAAATTAGTCAAGCACACTTTTCTCCCACTTCTCTACCATGTTTTAATCTAGCCTATATCTCTGTTATGCTGAAGTAGTTTGCAGGCTTATGTCATGGAGGAAATAAGCATATATAGTTTCGAGTTCTATTTGTATGCATCATTGATCTCATTGTAGTATTGTTTGTTTTCTTCTGCTAAATGGAAAGTGTTGTCATTTGTACTTTTAATTTATTTTTTTTCTTCTGTTAAATGGAGTGATGGATCGCCGACCCGTTTTCAAACCAGAAAGCAAACCGGAATCGGTGGGTCGAACAAACAAAAATAAGACTCGGAATCAGCCCTGTTTTACCACGGGTCTGATTCCAAGACCCGTAGATCCTGGCCCGACCGACCCTTGCCACCTCTACTTCAAGCTAGCTTTCTTCTTCACAAGCTGACCTCCACTTCTCAACCTTATTCAATATGTCCTTCCTGCTAGCTGCCTCTTCTTTTGCTTTCATGATCTGATTTTCCATGCCTTCCAATAACTCTGTAGGCTCAACACCACCCCAGACGATTAGCAACAATATTTTTTTTCGGTAACCTCTGTATCAATCTCTAAGAGCAATCTCCTCAAGTTCAGCTTGCCTCTTAAGAGCAATTTCCTTCATTCGGCTCGCTTTTAGCTGATCAAGCCTCTCAACTTCCTCTTCAGCCTT